ATCACGTCCCAGAGCCTGAAAACTGCACACCATCGTTAGTCAGCTGTTTGAGCGACAAGAGCCGAAACTTAAACCCTGGCACGTAGTAGACGTTCCTAATCTTGATTACAACTGGACCCTTCTGCTTGTGGTAGTAGTAGTTCGCCCCTATGTGGTATGAACTGCAGCTAGCTTGATCCTTCGCGACTTCTACCAACAGGTCCCCGTAACCCACCGCGTAGTGCTCCTCTCCTCCGCCACACTTCAGAGGAATCGGGTCACAAGGCTTGTAGTCCCTTAGTGACCGTGCGTCCGGCGTGACGTGGTAGATAGCGCCTGAGTCCAGGTACCAGGTAGCATCTAGCTCTCGCAGCTGTGGCCCCGATGTCTCCGTACTGCCTGATGCAGCTGCCGACGACACAGCAAACGCTGGAGTGGACTCTAATTCAGAAATTTCTGCCTCCACCATACGCGATGGTGAATCCCCCAGCTCCAGCATGAACACCGGGCACGGAACGCATGGTCAGTAAAAATTCACTCCCATCGTAAAGCCCCTTTTCCTTCAGACGGTCGCCGCTTACTACCAACTTCCGGTCCCCCCTGCGGAAGATGCATATCACCGCACCAATGGTGCCACGATCAAGAAAGAAGTTCTCGTACCTACCCCGGCCGGACCGATCAACCACGCACCTCGGCGCGGCTTGCTTGGGGTAATCGATTCAATCGATCGACTATTAACTTGGATCCGGCCGACTTTGGCTCGCTAAGCTGTATCGGCTCGTCTGGGAACGGTCACCACGATCGGCGACTGAGTAACGTTACACTTGCCGCGTAAATAATAATGATAAGGGGTAGAAGTCGTGTATAAGATCAGCAAATCGCCGGCAGTAAGTTTTACAGTTGCTCCATTGACTGTTTCCTTTGCACATCTATCCACACGCGCCAATTTCAGTGGGCCGACATGTCTCGCCGCAGTGGTAGTGGTAGTGGTAGCGCCACGACCTGGCTGGCTTTGGCGGCCCTGATGCTGCTCAGCGCTAGTCCTGTGTTCGGATGGGAGGATCACAAGCCACCGAAGCCGCCTAAGGAGATCTGCGACAAGACCATTGTCGTGACCGAGAAGTTCAACGAGACCGCCTGGGTGACTCCGACAGGCATCCCCCCGGGATCGGTGCGTGTGCGTGCGCGTGCGCGTATGCATGACATGTGCATAGCTAGTTGGAAGTGTGTCACGGAAGGAAAGAAAACACCAAACGAAACGGGATTTTCATTGATAAGGGATAAGTCTCCCACGAAAAGGTGTTTCTTCGCTGCCGTAGCTTATTTTGGCAACTAATGCTGGAGCGATGGGATGCATATGCATATGGATGCATCTTCCCTGCAGGCCCACGCACGTTGATGCAGTACAGTCTTTATGGCACGTCCGATTATTGTTTGCCCGTGGCCGCACGTCGATTCTATATGTTTTTGCGTACATGCGCGAAAAGTAATAACTGCATGTTAATTGCTAATGGTATATTGTATGCAAATGTATGTCTGTTTATCGATCTGTTGCCGATTTGTGTCTGCTGCAATTACGCAATGTGATGCAGGACCTGTCCCCGTTCATTGGCTACAGCCTTGGCTACATTGATCCCTTGTACCTGGGGGCCAGCGTCGAGCCCAAGACGAGGGTAGGCTGCTGTTGGTTGTATCGGGTGTTGTTGGTTCTGTTGCTTGGCTGTCGTCAGCAGGCTTAATGTTGCTGCCAGTGACGAAACGAACCATGAAGCTTTACATGCAAATTGTATCTGCCTTGGGAAGCGGCGGGCGAAAGTCGACCCGCCAGTCGTACATAGCGTTACGGCAAAGTCGCCGGCATTAATGGCGGCATGTAAGCGCTAGCCACATAATTTCAACCCCATGATGCTTTTGCATGAAACCATTCAGGTTGGGAAGGCCAGCGATTTCTGCTACGTATTTGCGCTGAAGTACAGCTACTGCGTAAACACGCTAGAGTTTGGTATCTTCGGCAGCATCACGTTCCTCGGGCCCTTCACGGACGTCCAGGTACGTGTGGGCTAGTCAAGTAAGTTGTTGCAATACTACGCTTCTGCCAACAGCCAGGCGGATGGATATGATGAAAGGGCGCAGATTATGGTCGATTGTCGTACAAATGGTCGATTGTGGGAATCGAACAAGTTCTGGCACGTCTTTATTCCGTACTGCTGCTCATTGCTCACCAATATTCACTCAAGAAAGGACACCCTCCACTGCAGGTGCTGCCGCCACCCAATTCGCTCGTATCCTGTGCCTTTTTTAGTAGTCGTGATAAATTGGGCATCACCGTGATGCTGCGCAGGATGCTTGCTTTGATAACGCCATCGCTGGGGGCACGGGCATCTTCAGTGGCGCCGAGGGCATAGTGAAAGTGAAGGTGCTGAAGGAGGGCGAGGTGTACGCGTACAAGATTGAGCTAGAGGACAAGCCCAAGTGCAAGGACAACTGAATGCTCAGGAAGGACATTCAGGAGCTGCTGGCGGCGGAACCAGGTGGGAAGCGATTGGTTACGTTTGCGACGGCGGAGATTCATTCCCCGAGGCATGGCGGCTGCACGATTGAAGGGGTCGCCTCATGTGGTGTTAGCATGTATGTACGTCGGGTGCCTGTTCGAAACGTGCAATGGAGCTCCCGGGTGGTGATATAACCTCAATTTAGTTGGTAGATGTTGTTAGTTGCTGGCAGTAATCCGTTGTCGCCCAGAAGTCGCCCAGAAATGATTGACAGAAGTGGCTGCGGTTTGCGTTGGCCTGCAGTGGATTAGTTGTCCATGACTCACCCACGTGATGCCACGTTCAGAGTGATCACCGATCTTTAATAGGCGGGAATATTTGGGTATGATGCACGTACGTCCGGACACTACGATTTATTAACTCAGCATACATCTCTGCTGTAAAAACAATATACGAATGTTTACGAGCGAGTTCGTTCCAGGATCTTAACTGTAACTGTAACCATAATAATAACCAGCTACCGACTCGGTTGATTACCATCCGTCAGCCAGTCATCAGTTGCCGTTCCCTGAGCCAACACGCAGCACGGAGGTGGCTCTCGTATGAAACATCCGCGCCACACCATCGAGGTGTATTAACATGCATTTCAGACACATGGAGCAGCGGCAGCAGCAGCAGCATATGAACTGTTGTAAGTATAGTTGCAATCAGAGTACCAAGCATCAGCCAATGAACTGATCATTCGTGTCCGCAGCTCGATGTGCAGGTCAGTACCGGCACGCACGACGACGCGCCACGGCATCCGTCGTGACAGGTTGGTACAGCACATGTTTTGCAAGTGATGTTACCTCTTCAGCTGGGCAGGTGAGGAGGCGTTATTGGAATGCTACCGGCAAAGACATATGCCTCATCTGCCCGTCGTCATCGTCACTCATATGTGTGTGTCGTGCTCCGGGCCAGGCTGTTGCCACCACTCGGACACTTGGCCCCCCCTCCATCATCGTTTTTCTTCTCCCGTCGCCTCGGCCCCCGGGCCTTTACGCAATATTGAACTGCCATCCATCTAGAGGTGGAGCAGCCACCGTGGAGGTGTGCTATTTTGTTTCCAGGAAGTAAAAATGCCAACCACCTTGAGAAGAGAAGATAGCTAAGGGTGACGACGTCTGACCTGGCGAGGCCGGCGAGCGTGTTTGGGTCCTGAGTTGGTGAGACGGGTTGGGGGCTCGGTGCATGGACACCATTGACGTACATTTCCCTGACCGGCAGAAATAGAACAGCTGAGCTGTTCCTCCAAGGCCACTTCATGAGAAACAAGGACATAAGGACACAGGCATCCTACCACTCACTGCACTGCACACATCAACATACTCAACATCCGTTTCTGCCACCCACCGAGATGCTGCCTCCAACCGCTCCCCCTGCCATGCTTCATGTTTTCCTCACACTCTCACTCACTTTCTCTCATATACATACACAACAACACGCAACACGCACACATACATACACACTTTCGTACTCTCCTTTCCTCGAACACGTGTAACGCTCAATTCGACCCAAAAAACAGAAAACATAACCCAGTACGCAAACCACAGTTGCGACTGAGGCTCTCACCATCATAAATCGCCATGCACCCACCATCCTCATTCCACAGCACGTCGTAGTAGCAGCAGCTGCGGCAGCAGTAGTTAGCAGTAGTAGTACTAGTAGAAGGACATGCAATCTATGTGATTGCACGAGTAACAGCAGTGCCAGTAACAAGTAACAATAGCAGTAGCATGAGGCATAGTAGATTTCAGCAGTTCCTCAGCTGGACTCGGGCAGTAGCAGCAACAACAGCAGTAGCAACAACAGCTGGTGAGAAACACAAAGCTCACAACAAAGTCGACAGACAATGAAAGATAATGGACAATTACAAAAGAGCGGGCGCAATCTGCACGAGGAACCACGTGTGCAGCCGAAGGCAGGCCGACCGCACATCTAAGGCCCATCATCATCGTGATCCCCACCATATGAAAAAACGTCTCTCCGTAGCCTAACGCGCCTCGCCCGCAGCCCTAAGCACGGCTTCATTTTCATCTACCAGCCGCAAGAGGAAAATGAAATGCAGGAAAAGGAAATGCGATGGGCAGCATGATAGGGATCGATGGGTGCACCCCGCACAGCCGCGCCCACCCACAACTCCCCCCCCCAAGTACCTTTCGTCAGGGCAAGCCTAAATGCGAGCCGGGGTCGATCCCCTGTAGTAGTGCCGCCTTCGCACTGTACTACCAGCCACCCTCATCAACATCCTCATCAACGTCACGACACCAAGGACCTCCGCCACCGCGACGACCACATACCACCGCCTAAACACTAAAAAACACTTTCCAACAATTAAAGGATGTAAACAGACGCACGGATCTGATTACTTTTGTATTCCGTACGCAAATACATACAGGCGCACATGCATACGTACGTTCATACGTACATACAGACGTACGTATAACTGCATGGCTTGCCCATTTCCTGCGAGACCCAGATCTGCAGCGGCTGCTGCTGCTGCTGCTGCTGCTGCTGCACCTATTTAGCCCCTTTTTTCCACATAAACAGTGTGGTGGTGTGAGAAGCAAGAACACGCACACACGGACACCGCATGCACACGGGTCTCGTTTCTTGATCCAAAGGGTTTGTGAAGACGTTTTGGGTTTGGCGTTCGTTCCCACCAATGTCGATACTTCTTTAGCTGGCAAAAACCGGCCTCACGGCGAATCCGTATAAAACGAAATGCCCAGGAACAGAAACACACGTCGCCCCAGCTGCTAACGAGAGCACATGTGCTTTGCTTTGCTGTTGTTTTGTCAAAAAAGGCAAAACGGCAAAGAACAGCAACAAACGGACCGCGTGGCCACACCCTCGCCACAAATGTCCGAAAAATCAAACCCTGTGAGCTCTCAGCTCCTGCGCGGCCGTGGCCCCTCCAGGCGCCGGGAGCCGTAACCCGGTCGGCTCAAGGGGAACACAATAGAGCATCAAACGAGCGGGGGTAACGACGACAACAACAGCTGCTTAAATTAGCTACACATAGCAGTTTACATGAGGCATCAAGCCGCACCGCAACCCAAGCGCACGCGTATTACATCGCCAAAACACTCAACACGCACCACAAAGTGTGCGCGCGCGCTTACCGCGCACGTCAAAACACACACACACACACACACACACAACACACGACGTTTAAACACAACACGGCAAATCTCACCAGTGAGACAGAGAACTGAACAAAACAGAAGAATCCAACGTCCGAACACACGTAAGCACACACGGCGACATCCTGACACGCGCACAAACGAACACACACACACACACACGCGGATACACAAGCCAGCTCAACGTATCAGCTCGCTTCCAGCAAATACACCAACGAAACACAAGCCTACAAATCCGTGCATGCATTCTGTGTACGTGTAATACGATGCCGCGTCCCAGATAAACCCCCCGGCCCCCTTGGCGAGACGGGAGATGCGAGGCGAGAGAGGCAATGAGACCCGCCGTCAGGTGACGTAATAGGGTGGCATCATCAGGGCTGCGGTGGTGGTGGTAGTGGTAGTGGTGGACAGGTACGTGGCGTGTGGTGCCAAACGCGGCGCGGCGAAGCGAGGCAGGTCCCCCCTCCCCAGGGGGGGCTGCAGCACAGCTGGGACCACCAGCAGGGACCACGGAGGAAGTCCGCGAGCGGAGGTGTGTGTAAGGGCCCCCGCCGTCTCCCTCCCTCCCTCCCAACATCCCCCCCCTCCCCCCCACACACACATTTTCACACACCTTCAAAACCCTTACGTTCCTTCTTCCTCCCGACCTGCTACTTGCCACCCGCCACACCCGGTGTCTATCAGACCCGGCAATAGCTCCAGGAAGGAGCCGAATCTCTCCCCTCCTTTCCTGTGAACCTGCTTCAGGGAGGGGTCAGCTCGGGGGAGCTGCACCGCGCGTCCCTCTGTTACTACGCCGTCAAAAGCAGTCAGTCAGTCAGTCAGTCAGTCAGGCCAGGCCAGGCGAGGGGAGGGGAGGGGAGCTGCTGCCTCCGCGGAGACATGGAGGGTACGGGGAGGGTACGGGTACGGGGAGGGGGAGGGGGAGGGAGGAGTAGCCCTAAGCAGTACACTGACTATGTGGCGCGCAGCCTCCGCCCCCACCAGCACTCCGGGCAGAGAGAGTCCTGCATAGTCGCGCGGCCGATAACCTCCCGCCCCCCCCTCAAAAAAAGAAGACAAACAATCAACTGAACGAGACCACTACCACCACCAGCACCAGCAATACAAATGGAAACGGTTATGAATTCCAAGAGGCTCCAATGGGAGGAGTGCAGAGTGCACTCACAGATCCAACCCCCACCGGCATATCTGGTGGCGCTGTCACATGTGCGGTGCAATCACTAGACAGGAATACATACACACACATCTCCCCCTCTTTTTCCCGCTCACCCAAACGTTGCTTCTTCCCCGCGCTTCTTTTAATCCTCACGCTCCTCCTCCCCCTCCTGCTGTTGCTGCTCCCTCTTTCCCCCTTCCCCCCACCTCACCATCACCCCCCTCCCCCTCCGTGACCACGCATTCAACCGCCGCCGCAGCGACGCCGCCCTTAGACGCCACCGCCGGCTTTTCCTACACCTCCGCCAGCTCCACCGCGACGGACCCGTCGGAGTCCTCGGCGGCGGCGGGCTCGTCACACCCCTCGTCCTCAATGTCGGCGTCGTGGTCGGGCACCAACTCCGCCAGCTCCACCGCTCCGATGCGGGATGACGGCGGCGGAACCCCCCTCGCGGCGGCGGCGCTGGCCGCCGCTGCTGCCGCCGCCGGCGGCAGCGCCAGGCCAGCCGGGCCGGCCGCCGTATAAACGGGCTGACGGAGCGACGTAGAGGTGACGGTGGCGCCCGTGGCGGCAGGGGTGGTTGCCGCCACCGCGGAAGTACTTGCCTTGACGAATTGGCCGCGTACGCGAGGCCTGGCCTCCGCCAGCCGTTTACGGCTCTCGTACCGAACCTGTACGACACAAGCCAATAAATAAATTTAGAAAATGTATAAGTTCAGGACTCTCAATACCGTGCCGTACAACCGTACAAAAAGACCTACGAAGACATGTGTGAGTAACTGGCGATGATCCTACCACCCAAACCTTCCATCCAGTCCTCCCGAGCCAAGAGCTTCACTCACTGCAGGGTTGAGAATGCACCGGCTTGATCAAGCACTGAACTATTGATTAACAGCAAAAGTAATGTGTTGCTGCCGGTGCTAGGGACCCTAAAAAATCTCCAGGCGACCCTTTTTCAGCCATAGCATGCAAGGAGAAAACAATGCGACCTCGTGCGCTGACAACGTGCGCATTTTGTGGAAAAAAATCCTAAATTCAAGAGCGCGCAACGTAACGTACGGCAATGCCTCCAGTAACTTTTCAGCTCGTTCCAGGCCCAGCGCATTGACCACGCTTCTGAGACCCACTCCACCTCAGCCCAGCCCAGCCATATCCAGCCCAACCCGCACCTTCTTTTGGAAGTTTCGGTGCTTCCGCTTTTCAAGGTACTTCGCTACAGCAGCCAATCGCGCTGCCGACGGCGCCTTCTGTACGACCAACGGTGCCGTCGTGACGGTTTCCGGTACGGGCAGCTCCGCCGCCGCCCGACCAGACAGATGCGCAATGAGCTGTAGTACCGATTCGGGAATACAAACAGGCGGCGGTGGAGGCGGCGGAGGCGTGCTAGCGGCGGCCGCCGCCGCCGCCAGCCCGTGAGGTGGAGATTGACCGAACGCTACAGCGCCGGCGCTGGTGGTGGTGGCGGATGAGGCGCCCGGGCGCTGTTGCATGCCAGTGTACGACATGTGCGTGGCCGCTGCAGCCGATGTCGCGGGACCTAGCGAGCCGTTAGCTCCGCCGGCGGCGGCGGCGGAATCATGAGGCTTCTGAGGCGCCTTGGCCTGAAGGTGCTGCTGCTGCTGCTGCTGTGGCGGCGGCCCTGGCGCCAGTACTCCCATGTGAAGCTGCATGATCGACGGCAGAACATGTACGGCACCTGGCAGTGGCGGCAAGGGACCCATGTGCGTCTGCTGCTGCTGCAAGTAGTGGTGGTGATGATGGAGGTGAGGATACCACACTGAGGCTGCACCGCCGCTGCCAGCGGCAGCCGCCGCCGCGGCTGCAGCAGCAGCAGCAGGGTGCGTGAAGATTGGCGCCGGCGGCTGCACCGGCGCCGGCGGTGGTGGCGGCCGAGCAGCTGCTGCCGCCGCCGCCGCCGCCGCGGCGCCGGCAACCCTGCTTGGCAAGAAAACGGTGAATGCGGTGAAAGCGGATCTGTCGCTATGTCGCAGCACCGTCAAGCTGTTCGACGTCTGCGAAGGGCCCGATGCGGCTGCCGTAGGCCCCGACGGCATAGTTGCGGGTGTACTGCGGTTGCCGTCCATGTCGCCGCCTGCCGCCGCAGATTCAGCATGCAGAGGCTGCAACGGCGTCTCCTGCCGATCTGCCGCCGTAAAGGAGCTGCCAACCGCGCCATGCGGCTCCGACGCCTCCATCGCCATGACCGCCGCTGTCGCCGATGCGCATCCGCCGACCGCGCCACTTCCCGCCTCAGTTCCGTCCACGCCCGCTTTGCTGGGACGACGTGCCGCCGCCGCCCCCAGCGGCTGCTGCTGCTGCTGCTCGGCGGCGTTGGCTACAGCCGACGTCGACCCACCATGAATCTTCTCTGCCCCCACTACCTGGTCTTGTTGGTGCTGTTGTTGCTTCTGCTGCTTCTGCTGCTGCAGCAACAATTGCTGCTGATGCAATAAGGCCCGCTGGGTCCATAGCCCCGCATGGCGGGCCGCCCCCAGTGCCGCCAGCTCCTGAAGCGCTGGCGGCAGCGTCACGGCGCCGCCAGGCGATGCAGCGCCCGGCGGCGGCGCCGCCGCGGGATGCGGCAACCCGTGCTGCTGCGTAGAAGGTGGCAGCGGCGGCGTAGCAGCCGCAGGCGAGCTCCCTCGTGCCGTACCGGCAGCTGCAGCGGCGGTTCCGCCGCCATCACCGCCGCTGGACCCCATACTTCTATTCGGCGGCGGGCTGGCGTCCACTCCTCGCGGATAGCTGCCGGCCGTCGCCAAGGCTGTTGTCATGGCACCCGCTGCCGCAGTAGCAGCACCAGAGGACCCGCGAGTCGCCGCCGCGGAAGTGGCGGTACAGCGGGGGGGGCTTGCCGAGCTGACGTGAGATGGCGGCATTGCCGCCGTCGCCCCCGCCGCCGTACCATTTGTAATCCTGGCACAGCCGCTATCCCTCCCGGAGCCGCTTTCCGTCGGACCCGTGCCTGCCGGGGAAGCACCCCGTGCAGATGAAGGGACAGGGAGAGGGGGTGCGTTGGCGCAACCGCCCTCCAGGCTGGTGCGTCGATAATAATGGTGATATTGTTGTTGGTGATGATGACCCTCCAGTTCCGGCTGAGATGCCGGCGGACGCTGCTTAGGCTGCTGTCGCTGCTGTTGCTCGTCGTCCTGCATCTCAATCCCGGATCCCGTTGTCGTACTGGTTGTTGCCGTACTGGTCGTTGTGGCGGTTGCAGTGTACGCGGACGGGCTCTCTGCAAAGGTGTCACCACTGGGGGTAGCCGTACTCTCACGCGCGCCGCCGTCAGGGCCTGCCGACGCCGACGCGGCGCGAGAACCCTGGGAGCCCTCCGCCGCCGCTGCCGCCGCCGCCAGTCGACATGCTCCGGTGGCGCCAGCGGTGGCGCAGCCACTGCCGCGTAGGGGTGCGGCCGCCGCAGTACGGCATGCGAGTAGCGCCGCCGCGCCGCCGCGTTCTCCCGCTGTCGACTTAGGCTTCGCGGCTGTCGTAGTGGTGGTGGTGTTGGTAGTCGTACCGCCTAGGCTGTGAAGGCGATGCTGGTGGCTGTGGTGATGCGAGGATCCCTGAAGCAGCCGCGGACGCTTGCGAGGCCGGTTTCCGTCCTCGTCACCGTCGCCGCTGACGTCGTCGTCGCCGCCACCCTCGTCATCATCGTCATTGTGGTTGGGCCCAGCACCGCCGTCGTCGCCAACATCGTCGTCGTCAGCTTCCGCCACACCGTCAGCCGCTGCCTTCGCCGCGGTGGCGTCCGCGTTCGTGTCGTACATGGGCTCCGCCTCCGCTGGGTCCGTCTCCGTCGGATCGACGTGCGACCAACTGATGACGGTGGCGGAGGTGCCGGCGGCGCAACGCGATGAAGCGGCGACGCCAGCAGTGCCGCTGCCCGTCGACGCATCGATGGCGCCGCTGGAGTTGACCAGCCGTCGAGCTGCGCCGGATGCGGGGTTCAGGTCAAAGTGTACGGCAACGGAAGTGCCGAAGGGCGCGAATGAAAGTGGGCCCAAGGGCGCGCGCGGCCCACCAGCTATAGCAGTACCAGCACCGCCGCAGCCCCGCAGCGGCCCTGCTGCGCTACTGCCTTGCGCCGCCGCTGACGTCGCCGCTGTGCTTTCCATCCCCGCCAAGCCGGACAGATGGCGCAGATGCTGCGTACGGCTCCCTTGAGCTTCGCCCGCCGTCACGTTCCCTGATAGCTCGGATGCGCCAGGTGGCGGTGGCGCTGCCGCCGCAGCTGGATACCGTACAGTGGCAGCACGGTCCGGCAGTAGTGTTCCGCCCGTGGACTGCAATACAGAAGCGGCGGCGCCGCTGCTGCCGCCGCTGCTGTCCTTCAAATGCCCATGCGTTGCTGCACAGGCCTTGCCGCTGGCAGCGGCGGCGGCGGCGGCGACAGCGACGGCTTCGCCTGCCTCCAGATCCTCCCGACCGGAAAGGGGCTGCCCGGTGACGTTAGTGGTGGTGCCGCTGCCGGACCCCTTGGCCTTGTTGGCGCGCCAGACATGCTGCCAGAGCGTAGCCAGCTCATTTTTGCGAATGGGCTTTATAAGGTAGTCGGCAGCGCCTGCTTGGAATGCCTGTAACACGTTCTCCTGCGAGTCTTGAGAGGACATGACGACCACTGGCACATCGCAAAAGGTGTCCCCATGTACCACTTCATTGATTAAGTCAAAGCCGGTAACCTGCAGCAGGGGGAGAGGACATGGCATCAAAGGCACAACAGGTCGCGCTGCGGCAACGGTTCTGATGTCGACATGAGAAGAAAGGCAATGTGAAGGGGGAAAAAGTGAAGATAAACATGTTTGAACATCAGGGACTCTGGCCGCGGCTATCCCGTTGTAGTGTGATAACAATGGCATAGTAAAAAGCACTCCCGCCTTTTCCATTTTCTAATTGGCAAATTCTGCGCCAACTTGGGAACGGGCAGACAGTATTATATACACGCCTAATATGTAAGGAACGGGGCACAAGCCTTAAGAGAATGAGCCATGACCGTTCCACCAACGCTCCTCAAATCAAAACACATCAGCATTAACATGAATCGACTGCATCTACGCACCTCCGGCATCAGTATATCGGTCAAAATAAGGTCCACTTTGACGCCGCTGTGCCGGCAGGCAGTAAGGACCTTTATTGCCTCCCGTCCATTTGCTGCACAGGTAACTTTGTAATTGCATTTCCGGAGTAGCTGCTCAACTGTCTTCAGCGTCACCCTGTCGTCTTCGACCAGCAGTACGTGGAACTCCATCGCCGATTGAGACCGGTGACAGTGCGTTGCGCCACGGCTACGTTGCGAAAACACTAGCAGCTGCCCAGGCGTACATCTAAGTGACCAGCCCTAGCACGTTGCAGTTATCAAGGGTGCCCGAACTGCGGCACTGTCTTTAAAGCAGGCTGAGGAATGACCCGTCGAGACAAAACATGTTTTTTGCCTGTAGCGTTGACATCAAGATTTTGAGAATAGCTTTGGTGGACATGTACTTCAATCTGAACACCTTATTGATACTCTTCTGATTTTAGCCGGCAGATATTTCGCCTGTACGACAACCACTCAGGAGTGTCCAAGCTGGTGGACAGTGGCACCTGTCGTAGATTTTGCAAATCCGGCTACCTTGGAAATTTGCGTCCGCACAGGGCGGCGTTATCTTCACCTCGCAGTACTGGAAACACATCTATATTAATTCCGAATACTGAGACATTTCCGGACAGCGAGAGCGAGTCATCCCGAAAACTTCTTTGGATAGGTATACCCTCCTATTAATCCCAGACAAGTACATATGTTGGCTTTGAACTGTGACCTGCGAATTATTCAAGCCGTTCGCCTGTTGCGTATTGGGTTCGAGTCTGGCACCTAAGTATCTTGCCTGAGATATGATGGCCAGCTCCCCGCAATCGGATGCGTGGTAGCATGCGAACATGTTAAAGGAGCATGAAAGGATATTATATTATATTATATATCTTTCTCACTGTGATGGAGCTCTTTCTTCGCAACACTAGATGCCACGTTGTCTGGCACGAAATGTGTAGCAGTGGCAATCACAATATCTGTGCTATGTTCGAGGACCGGTTGCCATCTCTGGCTGCCTCACTGAAGATGACTTTTTCCTTCCAAGGACTCGTTTCACAAATTCGTCTTTGTTAGTCTTCGAAGTACAAACTGGCAGCGTGGCTTCGGAACAGCCCCGGCATAGCGCTCCTCAACCACAGCGGCAGCAGACCACCACACACTGCATAACCTGCCTAATGAAAATGATGCAGGGCCAGCGCCAAATGGGCAACAACACCCTCCTTCAAAATCCCCCTCAAATTCAGCCGTGACAACCCCACGTGCTTTGTCATACACCCATACCAGCCGACAGAATCCCGTAAGCCCAACATGTACATCCTCTACCGTACAAGCCGTACAAGTCTTTGGCCCTCGCTTGGCGTCCTGGAGGTCCCGCTCTGCCTTTCTCATGCCCCCTGAGTCAGCTCGCCTTTGCCTCCCCAACACAACCTACCTGACCACAGCCCACCCTCACTACAACGTACGACAGTAGGGCATTTTTCTCTGCCTTGCCTACCCTGCACATCCGGCTTTCATGGCGAGTAAAACCCACTTCTTGGCACGACCGACCTTCACGACCGCATTCCTGTCCCTTCGGGCCATGTAACAATGAAGCACCTCGGACACAACCAACACCGCCGCCGGCACCACTGCCCAACCGCCCGAAGCCGCCCAAGCCTCGCGCTCCCCTCTTCGCCATCATACATGGAAAAAACCCAGAAGATCAACCCACTCGGGGCTAACTGTCACACGGTCGTACACCGTTCGTACTATTCGTATCACCCTATGCCGTAGCAACGCATGATCATATATCTGGACCTGCATCCACAGCTTTCCTTTCCCCCCAGCCCTCTGATCCACCCATCCGGGTGTTCAGTCAACGTCAGGTCAGGAGGGCTCCACTCAGTGTTTTTTTTAAGTAATATATTCCTTAAAAGGAATAAATTGAGACCCGCCCTAAATGAAAAAATTCACTGGCTCCACTCCTCATAACAGAAGTATATAAACCTACCGACCGATCTTGCACTTGGCCTGCACTGCCGCAATGCCCGCCTCCATAGGGCCCGCCACGTCACTTCGCAGCACACCCAGCAGCTCCCCGCGCACGGAGTTAAGTTCCTCCAGTACCTGTCACATGTTACATATGTGCCGTTGTACAATGCCGTAGGATGCAGTACGGGTGCAGTACACTTGGATTCAGAGGGAGAGGGAGGGGGGAAGGTGAGGGTGATGGGGGAACAGCAGGTAGGTTCCGCGGGGTGGAAGAGGTCGCGGCTCACATAACGACTTTAATAACGTCCGCCGTACTTATTCAAGTGAAGTGCTGTCTCATCACCCCTCTCGCCGCTCACCCCGTCTCGCAGCGCGTCGATGTCCCCCAGTGCGGCCGAGTGCTGACTTCGTGCCAGTTCCAGCGCCTCCGAGCTTGCTTGCAACATGGACGACACAGCGGCGTGGTGCTGAGCTGCCACCTCATTCACACGGTTGTAGCCCTCCTAACCGGGTGGGGAGGGGAGGAGGGGAAAGGGGGTCCAGGGGTTCAGGATTTTATAAGGGACGTGTGTGTGTGGATGGGGGAAATGTGAACGTGTGCTTAAAAGGGAAAGAGCGTGTTCGTGACCCTCCCATATATCTCTCCGCGATATTGTGACCACCATTGGGCTTTACGACAAGACACATACGCACACACAAAGTTCGCACAGTCATATAACAAACAGCAGTCAGCACAACCACCTTCCCTTCCCCGGAGGAGGCTGGGCATCAGCGAGTTGGCCTTTTTGGAATCCAACCCGTGATCCTGCCGTACATGACGAACGGTAAATAATACGAGATAAGTGGAGTTTCCCAACGTGAGATTCTTCCCCGCATTCCCTTTCCCCGGTCCCCACTCCCCCTGGCGCATTTTTTGGACGTCAGCCGGCTGTTGTCTCCTTGACTGCTGCCAAGAGTACATCCCCTCCTTGTCATGTTCCCGATCTCACATCTATGGCTCTGCCGCACTGCTGTCCAAATGCCGACGTGGCCCGCTCCTGGAGGGCCCCAACGCGCGCCGCCAGCCAGGCACGAAGGCCCTCCGCGGTGGGAACTCCACCGCGGTCGGCGGGGATGTGGCCAGGCGCCTCCGCAGCGGCCGCGGTGGCGGCAGCAGACGGCCTGTGGAAGGCGAGCCGCACCAGAAGAAAACGATTACTTGCCTCGATTTCTTACGGTAGGTACGGCATACGCAGAGAGGATTGCAGGCAGTGAATCAAAGAAGGAAACCGTCACGGCACGTGGAGTGAGGGAGGAGCAACAAGTCACTCCTGCGGATTGGAAATCTGCTAGCTGATAAGATCCGTATGGTCATTGGTATTAAAAGCGCCCGGCAGGGCAGGGCAGGGCAGGGCGGAGCAGAGCAGAGCAGACCAAGCGTCCGATAATTCAGTTTGACTTGCTCGCGAAAAAGCGGAAGGGCACGCGGCGCAAGAGCGCGCAATTGTCTGAACCGATTTGAACCGAACTGATCGCTCTGATCGCTCTGTAATCTAATCTGACCCGCATCGTATACGTGTTAAAAAAATTCACAGTCAGTCCGGGAGGCAGGGAATCGAGGAAGGCGGTGTGGTAGTGCTGGCTAGCCCGAATTCTTGAGGAGGCGGTGCTGTACTACCAGGACAGTGATGTGCATATATCTCATCACCTGGCTTGCTGGTGTGGTCCCAGAGCCGGAAGAGTCGTGTCTACGGCCTTGCGCTTGGCTCCACTTGCTGAGCCTCTGCCGCCGCGAATCAGCGGTTCACCACCTGCAGAAGCAGCTGCAGTTCCGCTTCCCCCTGCACCTGTGGCTGTGCGCAGTCCAGTTGATGTTGGGATGCGTTTTAAAGGAAGCAGGCTCGGCTGACCGCCAGCTGGTGTAGCTGCGGCTGCTGCGCCTGTCGCTTTCGCAGCACTCCCTACCGCGGCTTTCGCTTTGCCACCAGCCGCAGCTAGAAAATTGCTAAGGTTTTGTTGCAGGTCTTGGTCATGGTTGTTGTGGAGATCGTCGTCATCGCCGGGCTGAGCGTTTGCAGGTGCGGCTGCCGACTTCCTTGGCCTGCCCATAGCTCGCTGCTTCCTTTGTGTCGCTTGCTGGTACTGCCCCTGCGCTGTATACAAGGACCTATGCAGTATTAGTAACAGTAGACAGATACTATATAAGTGCTTTTGGTGCGAGGTTATTCTAGTTTGACCGGTTTTTGGAGTGGCGTATGGCATCAGCCGAAGAAAATCGGCGCGCGGGCCGGAGGGAGGTTGTGTGTGACCGATGCATGCACAATTTGGTCAAATCCTTGCCGGCCTCGGACGTTTTACATTTCACTTATCTTGTAAAGAGACGCAGACTTCCGATAGGCAAGGGGAACGGTGGGCCTACAAAAAAGCACGGCTTCCGAAAGTGGTCCGCTTCGAGGAGTAATGGGGTTGCGGAAGAGCGCTCGACTGATTTCCGCAAAGTCAAATCAACGCTGAAACAGACCGTTGCAGTAACCATTCCATTCTAACCAAGTGCTCAAAACGCCATCTCCTCCAGGTCAACAGCCCTGTCAAAAGGGAAAAAATTGAAGGTCACTTGCGCGTTAAATTGCCACAGCGCCGTTCTTATTGGTGCCGTTGTGCGCGGCCCGATGCCAGTTCTTCTCCACCTGCCCAGCACCATCTATACGCTATTCCCTTCTGATCCAGCTCCAGGCAAACGACACAAGACAAAATCCCCAAGTGACGAATATTCACGTTGTTGGATGCTTAATAACTACAACAAGCACGCACATAGCAGCTCTCTCTCCAACATTGCCTCCTCTGCCCCTCCCATTCCGTCTGGCCCCCCATCAGGCCCCCCCACACAGCGGGCCCCCTAAACTTCGGAGCCATTCGTCTGGCCGCGACGCAAATTGCGCGCGGGAACTGCGGCTCCGGACGTCCCTGTCGCCGCCGCAGAGCCCGCCTTGCTGGCGGCTACACTAGCGCCACCGCCGCCGCCGCCGCCGCCTGCTCCGCCTGCAGCATTCAATGCGGAGTTCTCGGTGCTTGCCGGCGCAAACGTGGCCCCCGAGGGAGCCCCGGTAAGCCCCGAGGCCGGACCCGTTAGGCCCGTGTGCTCGGTACCCAAGCTTGCCAGGATCTCGGGCCTGTACGGCAGGGGGGAGTACGACACAACGTGTATCATATCAGGCACGAGGACGACGTGG